AAAATTCAGATACAGTGTATCTTTCCAGTACTTCAACATCACCCAGAAAAAATGCTTTGTTGTGAGGATGCTTAAATCTTCACAGATACAGATGTTATATTTAGAGTATAGGAACTTCTTGAATGCAGTGTGATACTTCGAAATTTAGAGTTTTGAGCTATCACCTTGACAACAGCTTAACTGATTGATAAAGTAACAGCTTGAAGTTATTACAATACATACAACAGTGGTACCCTGGCCCTTAAGCACTGTATTAACATAAACAATTTCTAGTCTTACTTTGTGTCTACTATGACATACTGAGTATCTAAGATACTTAATCTCAGTGGGAAAATAAGAAATCAGAGGGCCTTTTGACTTAAAAAAATATGGATGGTCTTACATCATATTTAGACAAATGCAGGGAAAATGTACATTTATGATAGCATAGTGGTTTTTTTATCAGAATACTATGTATTTAAACATAGGTCTTTCCTTCCATTGCACAGACTGTCAGACAATGAGTCAAAAGTGCTCCAGAAGCAAGCTTATGAGTTTGTTGGTTTGCATTATTTCAGAAGTGAAATTCAGCCCTTTCAGAGTACTTGCCTCTGAAATGTCTACCAGCACACTGCTCTTCACCAGGACCCTACTGAGGTTTCAGAATACTTACAAGGGAAAACTGGGGCTAATTTGTCACCCATCAGCCAACCAACCACCAAAATGAACCCTTAATCCCTGTTCTTCACCAAGGGAGTGCACTGCCAGCATTACCACATAGCCTATTAGTATTACAGTGCAGGCCTCCAGAACCCACACTTACACAATGTGATTTATCAACATATACATATTTTTTCTTCTCATATAAGGGTACAGTATCACCCTTTCCTGGCTAAGGGCTCCATTTACTGCTAGTTTCAGCTGCTGTAATGTCAACTATTAAATAGAGGCAAAATCTCTTATGATTTTTCTGTATTACTTTTCAGAAGAGGGGAAAACCTATGGGCTAGTTACGCATTGCATAAAATCTAAACAATATGTGGAACCGAACTATACTACTCTAGAGACCGATTCTGTCATTTCTAGCTTGCTTTGAATTAAATCATCTTCCCTGTACTCATAGGCTACAGTACCAAACTATGGCATCCAGTAAACATTTGCAAGAAATTTCTTCTGGAGGTCAGAGAGTCACTGAGTTCAACGTGAAATAGTGACATAAGCTAGACAAGTGCATTTTATCTACTTTCTTATGCTGAGACACAGAAATGTATATATGCAAAGTAGAAGGAGATCCTAGAAGGTACAAACCAAATATATCTTTCAAATACACACCAGGTTTTAGAATAATTCCTTGTTTAGCACAACTAAACTGGATACTCAGGCTTTTTATTCCTACTGCAGATTGAAATTATTTAACCACTGAAGGCTTTATGTTCTTCTTTATTGGACTGCTTCAATTTGATGATGCTTTTCTAGCTGTGAGATGCCTGTCTTAAGACAGTATACTTAGAACATGCATATTAGGCCATGTAGAGGACTAATGAGTTTCCTGAACTGACACTAAAGAGCCCACATTAAAACTAAGCTGTAATTGAGAATAGCCATTTCTCTGCCTCTTTTGCATAATTTACACATTATCTTGCGGCACTGAACACTGGTTAGAAGATCTCAAACTTTCAGGATAAGTCTTAGGAAGTGATACATCCAAACTCCAGCATACAAGGAATGTGATTTTTAACATGCCCTCATGTTGAAAATATTCAGCTTGCTATTTGTAAAGGCTATATGATGCAATGCTCTACTTACTACAATCAGCATATTTTCACTTTTTCTCATTTCACAAAGGGAGATCAGGCTAGATGCATTTTAATGAAGTGGGTCCACTAAGCTATTCAGAAACAAACCCTGACTCTTCCCATCTCTGACATTCTCCTCTCAGCACCAACTCAATGCTAAAAACAAGATGTGACAAGAGGGCCTATCCAGTAGCAGCAAAGGTCATGTGTTTGCAATTACAACCCACTACAAATGCTTTGGATACCTCATGTTCCAAGCAGTGTAAGCCTAAAGCCTGCAGCCAGTGGGCTAAGGTGGTCGTGTGATCTGCCAGCACTACCTGCCTTGTTGAGTTGGGTTGCAGGCTTTGTCTGGGTCTCAGCTGTCAACTGCTCTCTGCCTCAAGCTCCCAAGAACTTTAACATTTACAATTTTTGCAAGTAGAAATATAGTGTAGGTATGCTGTTACCTGTGCTAATTTTGGTAGTGGATTTGGGAGGTAGGACGCTTGTGTCAGGAGGAGTGCTGTCAAGAGGATGGAAAAAGTCTCTTTGTCACATGCTTATCCAGATGCTGATTGCTCATCTGTAGCATCCCTTGCATTTAGGGAGCAGGCCTTTCTCTGGGAGAGACTTCCAGCTAATATAAGATGCCACAAACAGCAGAGAAGCCAAAAACAACTGACAAATTCACTTCCATTTATTTTTCTCAGATTTATTTTTCTCAGTTCAGGTCCTGGAGGTCATCATCATTATTATTGTTCCTTGAGTCGCCTCAGTCCCCAAGCAAAGGCTAATCCACACACATTGTCAGAGGTGGTCCTTGACAGATGATCTTATAACCATAAGGCATACCAAGTATGGGAGGCATAAAGAGACACTCCTTTCACTTTACACATGAGCAACTGCAGCAGAAGGATGTCAAGTGATTTATTCCTGGATAAGAAGCTGGGATATTAATGCAAGTGCTTTCCACTCAATAGTACCGTTACAGCAAAAGGTACACATGGTGTTCCTGAACCCATGCACTCACAGCTTCACAGCTAATTTGGAAAGTCACCAATCTGCATATCCAGCTTCATCACAACAAATTCTCACGGATTATCTATGAGCTTCCACTCAGAAGATTTTAAAAAAAATTTAAAAAAGAAAGAAAGAGAAAAAATACCACTACTTGAACTTCATCCTCTGACTTTTCAAATTATGACTCTCAAGGAGCAAAAAAAGCCAATGAGAAATGAAAGTGTTTTTCTGTTACAAGATTTCAGTGTCAAGCTGTGTGCTAAGCCACAGTGATATACTAAAATAAACAAAACTATTTCTTTCAGAGTCCAGAGAAATTAATATGACCAAAAATATTTTTGGAAGACTTTTCTGTGCAGTGAGTAAGATTTCCATGCAGTTAACCTTAGTCTCCATGTGTTGGTAGGTCCATTAGGCCAACACTACATCACACTCATATTCCAGGGACAGGCTGTTAGAAGCATTTCCTTAGGGATAGCTGCAGCCCGAGGAGTCTCCTTCTGTCTTGGCCTTTGTCTCTTGCATTTGTGCAAAGCCCTACTGGGGCCTGCTTCAGATTCCTATCTGACAGTCAGTCAGTAATGTAAGAATGAGCACACAGCAGAATAATTGGAAACACAGAGCAAATGTTACAGGTTAGCCAGCTAGTGGGACTTATGCCCCTTTTTTTTTCCTTTCCTTTTTTACGCCCTTTTTTTTTTCTTTTTTAATTTCCCACCCCCATGAGCACTTATTTGCTCTCTGGAGATCACCAATGGCAGCTGCAGGGGTTGGTGGGAGGGCAGAATAAGATTCTCAGAGACTGCTAAACAGCTGGAATTATCAGGTAATTTGATGCCCTTGTCTAGGTTTTTATCAGATTTTGCAAATATCCCTCACAAGCTGAAATCTCTCTGCAACATCAAGCGCTGCAATTTGTGGCTTACTGCACTCAGGTCCACCTCAGTGGATTTCTCCTCATCTCCTACTCCTGCAAAATAAGCACCAGGCACAGAGAACAACTTAGAAATCCTCTAATGCACAAAGAAGTAGGAGTGTACAGAAATGTTCTCCCTGATTCTAACTAAGACTCCTCTCTGCAGCACCTAAACCACAACATTTTTACCAAGTCTATAATTAGACACATTTATCTCAATACATGGCTATTTCCTAACATTTGTCCAACACACAAACCTGTGAGGGTCAGTCTGTGCTATTTTCCCAATACTTGACCAAAACTTGAACTCTCTCACATTTGGACACTCTTATTCCTTGCTCAGCATACCATTACAGCCTCTCTCCTCCTCAGTCTGTCCCAGTTTCTTTCCTTATGAACCAAAAATAAACCATATCTAGACTTCCTTCCATGTAAGCCAAAACCAAGCTGCTCCTGGACTCCCTTCTCTTCCTACAAGCCTCCTCTCCTGTTCTGCATCTCAGCAAGCAGCTTTACCTCTTTTCTTGCTGGCCTCTCTAGTGCATTAGGCCCTTATAAAATTCTTTGAAAAATTTAACAACACTCTAGGATCCCTGAAAACACTCTTAACTATGTTTGAGTACAGGAGTACACTTACATACAAGGTGGCCTATATAATTCAGCCAAAACTTCAGAGTGCTGACAGAATAATTTCAGAATAAACTAAAATAATACTAATTGAAAATGGGATGTGTTATCTACTAGGTATTTCAAGTCAAAGTTTCCCAGCTCAACTTGAATGCTTTGTGAGAAATACAGAAACACAATAAAGCTGATATTGATCATAAATAAATCCAAGGGCCTGCCATGTTGTGGAGGAATTAAAAAAAAAAAAAAGAAAAGAAAAAAGTTTTACTCTTAAGTAAATTCCCCCTCATAAACCATATTTCCCTGTAATGTATTTGAGCCAGTTTGCAATCCTCACTTCAAAGATGATATAATTTTCCCAAGCCTCTCCCTCCAGAGGTGTGTGGTTTGTGTTATAGTTTACTTAAAAGCAGAGACTTGGAATCAAACTCTGGCAAACACAGTTACACTCTTTTTTTTAATTATTTAATACTGGGGTTTTGTTGGTTTGGGGTTTTTATTTCTGTCAACTGCTTCAATAGTTTTAAAAAGCATGTCACAACTTATAGTGCCACCTAGTTTCTAACCAAAAGGTTATCAGGTAGTAGAGCTCAATCTGCTTTCTCACAGATTAAAGGACACTTCCTTTAACGTTTCAAGGAATCAAAAGGGGATGAAGGGCTTGGTGTGCTCACACTCACCCTTTTGTTGTTCTCTTCTTCTTGTGCCTTCCTAAACTCGTGCTCTAGGGAGCAGTCAATGTCGTTGAAGAGGCCGACTTCCTCACAGTTCTTCAGAAAGCGTGTTGGTGTAGGAGTCTGATCTGAGAATGTGACAAGAAATGATCATTGGTGCTTAATATCAAAAGGAGAGGGAGACAATTAAATAGCCTTCCAGGAAAAGAGAGGTTTTAACTAAATTTCTCTTTGCCTTCCCACCGCTACCTACCACATCATCATTAAAAAATCCACCCAGTGCTGAATTTCAACTAAACCCTGCGGGCAGCCAGGGCTTGCCATCAATGTCCAAAACCAGGCAGCAGCTATCATTTGGGCAGAAAGACAGCAGCATGGGCTTTCCCAGGGCACATAACACAAGTGCACCTCCTTAATGTGTGCAAATGGTCATTAGAACTCTCTATAAACCTCCAAAAACAGGGGCATGCAGAACAACACACAGTACATCTTGCAATGCACTTAGATCACAGCATGCGTGTTAACTGCTGTGGATACACACGAGTTAATGCCTTCAAGTGCTCAAAAAACACCTTAAACATACACATACTTAGCAAAAAAAGCAGCCATTGCAAGAAGTTCTGCTTCCAACACAATTTTTAAGGAAGAGTTAAACATTTAGAAAAGCTATGAAAAGTGAAATTCTGGCCATGATGAAGAATTCTTTTGTATTTTATACCTAAAAGTGTTGACAATACATGCAAAACCATGAAATTTGGAGGAGAAGAAAATTTACTGCCTTCATCTCTAGGTCTTTCTGCCCTCTCAAATTTAATACAAGAAGGTCAGGATTCTCTTTAATGCCACAGGCAGGAGGGACTGAGTAAATTACAAGGTTTTCTGACACCTTTTCAAAAACCAGCAAGACAGACAAGCTAAATTGCCATGCAGACCGTAGTTTCAGGGATGACCTTGGCTGGTCTTTCTTCAGGAAATGAAAAATCAAGCCCAAATTTGGGAACCAAAGAATCCTCAAAGCACAGTTCTGAGGCACCTCCATTCTGAAGCTAGCTCCTAATTACTCCACCTTGCCTCCTTCTTCCCAAGGCTCTGTTCCAGCTCGAGATGCTTTCTACCTGATTTTACAGAAAGACTGGGCTCACTTTGTTAAAAAATAATCTTCAGCCTAGTCCTTGAAAACTACCTATTGTTTATATTTCATTCTTTAAAGAATGAAAACTCTGTCATACTAAACCCCGACGCCCATATTGGGTCAATTCTGACCTCAGAAAAAAGCTTCCCACTTCAGCGAATAAAAAATTGGTTTCTTGCACCTAGCTAAGCTGGGTCAAGTTCTAATATTACCCCCTTAGAGCAAATAGCTACACAGTGAACTGACACAATGAACTGTACATGATCAGGATAGAAATGCACATCAGCCCTTAATTAAGCAGTACAAAAGCAAGACATGCAAAAGAAAATTAATTTTTCACTTGGAAACTAAGGAAGAGGATCAGCCTCCTCCATTATAAAGCCAGGAGAAGCAAATTTCCACCTGTATCAAGCATGGTCCTCCAGGTTTGACTTTCTCAGGTAATCCAAGGGCAAAGACACTCATTTGCATTTATATTTCTGATGGAATATCAGAATCAAGGCCTTAATGTTAAAATTATTTTTTCATTTCTTTTGGCTTGAGCATCCTACTTATGAGCTTAAAGGAAACAAACTTCAAGTATTTGGGAATGCACACATTTATCTATAAGCTTTCACAGCTAACTACTCTATTACCAGAGTTAGAAACATAACTTTCTAAGAATCCTGCAAGAACTCAGCATAAGAAGATGAGTCAACAAGGTGCTGGCATTGATGGGAGATGAGGGCACTCAGCACTTTACAGATCCATATCCTAAATAAGCAGTGCCAAACAAATCTCTAGAGTAGCCTCAGTAAACTCAGCAGATTTACACCAGGGTTGGTTTTGGCCCTGGGACTGGAGCTCGTACTGGAAATGAAGTGCACTAAAATGCAAGAGGAATAGATTTAATTTCCAAAAAGGATTAAATGCTCCTTTCGTGAACAACATCATTGTTTTTTCAGAAAATCAAAGACAATTGTTGCTAAGCCTTCCTGGACACGAAGGGCACATTAGTATCTGAATGTGAGGTAAATACAGGAAATATTTTATTCTTAGAAGTGGTATATCCATATCAAATAAGCAAGGTGTCAATTTCATGGCCAAGATGAGAAATTATGGTTTCATAAAGAAGTTGATGCCACCACTTTTACTAGAATCAAAAATCCTCGGTTTCTTCAGAGCTTCTTGGGCCCAGAACTGACCAAAAAAAAAAAAAAAGTATCTCATTGAAGTAAATCCATTTTAACAGTGAAAAAAAGCAAGCCAGAGCAAGAATGATTTCAAATGCACAAGGGCCTCAATGGCTTCTTTTCTCTGCTCATACTGAAAGTCTATCTTCTGAAACACAAGATAACCCACAGTGTTGCCTACAGTTGAACTTTCCAATTAAGTATCTTAATATCTCAAAAGATCAAAACTGATAATGACACTGTTTACTCCACCTACATATTGAGATGGTGATCTTATTTTATTACCTCAGTCTCGCCATACTACTACTGTAGTTCCTATGTTCCAGAAATCAGACTGGCAGAAATTCACATCAAGATTTTTGTTAAAGCAGGTAGCCCCTTGTTTCTCCCAGCTGAGGAAGGAGCACCACCAACCAGCCAGCCTAAACTTCATCCACAGACCTCCTGGAACTCAGCTCAGTCAGATGTAAAACAAGACCTGCCTTTCTATTCTAATACTTCAGCCTTCAACACTCACAGAAACCAGAAGGCCACAAAACCTCTGTGTGAGAGCAGAACTGATAAAGATCCAGACTTTAAAATATTGAGACTGTCTAGTAAAGTAGTAACACTGCACATCCACTGGACTCATTGGTTTCAGGATTTCAAGGCTACCAAGTCTAATGAGCTTGATTTGCTCTTGAGCAACCAACTATTGTGCCTCTGTAAAACACCACTTCTCCTTTAGGATCTGGGCAAATTAGTAGAAGAAATTACTGTCAACACTACAGTAATTCTTTCACCTAGATTAGGCAAGCCTTTGTGTTTTAATTGGGAAGACTATCACAAAGGAGACCCTAGCATAAGCTACAAAATCAGGTCTCCCAGAATTAATAAAATGTTCCTAATTCTCAGCACTTAAAAATGCATTAATAGTTCCAACAGCTTGTGCCTGACCTCATTGTTCCCTGTTGGTACAAACAAAGCTTTTGTTGCTATCACCAGCGCCCACAACTATTGCAGACTCACTGAGAGCAGGGCTCTGATTTGTTGCACTTCAGCAACTGGATGAGGCAGACCCATTTGGACCAAAACTCAGACAGAGCCAGCACCACTCTCAGCATTCCTGCTGAGGACACACTTTAGGTAGGAAGCTGCTCTGCAAGCACATTGCTACTCACACAACCCAGGATTCTAATGCCACAAACTGTATTTTGTATTGGCAGCTTGGGATACAGGATTATCTAGGTTAACCCAGGATACCTGCCTGTTACACTGATCAGCTATCCCAACCCAGTCCCATTGTTTAACATGTAAAAATCTTTCCCTCCTCAACTAGTTCCATCCCCTATAACTAGTTTACTGTCCTTTGAGGTGTCTAACTCTAGGCTTCTGTCACTTCCTAGGTAAACCTGACACCTGATAATTACTTAGGAAGTTTTTTCTATCTCGGCTTTATCACCATTTTAAACAGAGATTTTGTCAAGCTTCAGACTAGGCAATGAAAATATTGTTCAGCCTATTATTCAGGGGAATAATCAGCCTCTCTGATGCCATGGTCATGACCAGAAAGGCAGCAAGAAACAAAGTTTAAATAAGTCTCAAAAATGTAAATGGACAATATATAAGCCCCAGAGCAAGTCCAAATGATCTCACCTGTGCAGATCCCAAGTTAACCTACTGTATCTTACAGGAAGGGATTTCACATGCACCCAGCAATCATATTCTGACCAGAATTTCACATACTGTGTATATTTTAGTTGCTGACTTTTGAAAACCTGTCCTGGTGATACCTGATGAGGTTTTCAGACTCATTAAAAAAATGTATATGGTAAGGCAAAGGGGAACTTGAAATCTTCAGTAAAGTCAGAAGATTCCATGATGTACTCACGCTGTTTGGCAGTTCATGGGGGTTTCTTTGTTGGTGGTGGCTTGGGGGTGTGGGGATTGAAATAATAGTCTCAGAAAAGACACTCGGTCTCAATACACTGTTTTCAAAACAACAGCTCAGGAAACGCAACATGAGCTTGCAATACAGAAACCTACTTGATTCATCCAGAATGAGTTTTGCAAAATCACCTTGAATTCCTGAGTTTCAGCCCTCAAAACACAAAGGGAAACTTTAAAGCATGTTACCAGTTTAAAAAAAGCCCTGGAGAACCAAAGGACCGTTATGTGAAACAAGCTTTCATTTTGAGAAAAAAAAAAAATTAAAAATTCTGATTTGGTAAAAGATACCTAAACAGCACAGCTCCAAAGTGTGTAACTTGATTCTTCATTTTTCTTTCAAAGAAAAAAATTGTTTAGTCTGATGTGCAATAATAATAGACATTTGGCTTGTTCAGCTGCGGGCTCTGTTGAAGTTATACACTTACCCGTGTTTGTACTTTCCTACAATGATAACAATGTCACAGTAATGGGGCTAGCACAGAAATTTGAAAGGCTGCCCATCAAGCAGCCACAAAGACAGAGGAATGTCCTGAGAAGTTCAGAAAGGTTTCTTCATTGATTTCACAGCTTTCTACCCAAGTGCACTGAGGAGCTCAAGATCATAACATATCAACCAGGTGGAGAAAGAGGAGAGCAAGAAGTGCACCCAAACATAGATGGTGAAACTGCTCCCACCCAGATGAGGGCTACCAAGAACTTCACTGCCTAAATATGTACTCTTTAAAGGACTGGTGGGACTTTCCTGGATAGGTACACATACTGGGTACAACTAATTTTTAGTCTTCTAGTCACTCTGAAACTGACCAGTAAATGTAAGAAGGTGTTTCATTTCATTTTTGATAAAAGCAAACAAGAAAACACACTACAGTATGATTCTTACGCCCAATCATTTTGCACTCCTCAAAATTCATGCCCAGATAAACTTCTCTGTGTAAATTACAAGGAGCAAAAAATTAAGGCAACCAAGGGTGATGTAAATTATTTCACTGACACAGGCATTACCTGGGAAAAGGAACACATTTGCACTACCATTATTACAGGCACTTCTTCCATCTAGAGAAAACTGTTTCTACCTCCACAGTGGGCTTTATCAGCAAAACTCTAGACGATTTGGTTTCAGTAAATAGAATGAGGAAGGAAAAAAGGTTTCTATGTAGATAATCCCCAGCTCCTAAAGTTCAGTTCCACAGCGCTTTTAGTATTTCCCTGGAGGAAACAATCTTTTCCGCAGACATTAATATTTTGGTGTTTAAACACAAAAGCTTTGTCACACAACAAACTGTAAAGTTTCAAAGCAATGCAAACACTGTTCGCTCAGCACAACAGCAAAGAGTTGATACCTAATTCAGTCAATTTAAAGTTGCCTGCAATGCTGACTAGCATGCAAAACTTACATAAGATATTCTGTGTTATCTCAAACAGCTCTTTTTTAGCTGGAAAGATGGAAATGGAAAACATCAATTACTCTCTATCCATACTCTTAACAAGACTTTCTAACAAACAAAAATAAAATACATTCAACATAGGGGAACAAATAGCATTAATTTGAAAAGACAGAATTGTGTTGTCAAGTTGTGCAACAGAAGTATCACTTCCATTTTAGTGCAATGCCTCTAGTGAATTTTCCTGCCTTTTATACAGTCAGAGAACAGAAAGCTGTTTGGAGTACATGGGTACCTGGAGTTTCTGAATTGGTTTGAGAGATTGGTTCACCAGATTTAATATAACTTGTTTTTCTTAAGCCAGCATGAAAAAAAATGATAGAAAACATAGTGAAGCTAGTTGATAACTCAGAAGCTCCTGGAAAGACATACCTGATAAATCAGCACAGCACCAATTGTTGCAATCAGGCCATGCACCATCATTTTTAGACACTGACCCACCTACATAACAACATATAATTTCACATATAACTTTATCTCTTCCTTAGAAGCTGATATTTCAGACCCAAATACAGATTCCACACAATAAACAAGTTCCTTCTTCCCAAGTCATATTTTTCCCAAGTCGTAGTTTCTAAGATGTCTTGTACAAGACCAACAGTTTCAGTGCCTACTTCCAGGAAAAATTTACGGAAAACATGTTTAATGTGTGTTAAATATTACTGATACTCTAGTGAGCCCAGACTGGGGATTAAGCTATCTCTGTGAACAGAGTAGATAATTCTAATGCCTACCTGAAAGCATACAGTGTGTTATTTTTCATGGCTAATTGCTAATAACAAATGGATCATGCACAACAAATTAAAAGATAATCTACAACACACTGGAAAAAAAATAGAAAGTCTGACTTCTAGGTAGCTTAGGAGAAAGAGGAGGAAAAAAACAACTAAAGCTGCACCTGGCTCATTACAGGGCAATTGCTGCTGCAATTCTTTGAACCTACTGATGACAGGAACAATTTTTTTAAAAAGTCAAATAAGCAAAAATGCAAAAAACAAGGAAGACATGAAGATAAATGTCTAAGAGAAAAGTTTGTCTCTTTTTCTCATATATCATTAATTTTTCATTCTGAAATGCAAGAATAAAGCATCTTAAACTTTAAGGTATTTAGATTTCCCCAGGGTTTCAGTGAGAAATGAAACAACTATTTTTCAATGTCTTCCTGCAGAGAGCAGATGATGTATGAAGCTTCCTGAGTAAGGACTGCAAAATGCCAAACAAATCCAGCAAACAAACACAAGAAGAGGAATCAATACACAGCAGAACCAAGTTGTGAGGCCATTATAGTCAGGAACATTGGTCACAGTCTTTGGGAGCACATGTGGCTTTTTACTATTTCACTACTACAGAGGATCATCATAGACAAACCTCAAAGAATACATCCCTTAGAAGCAATCTCAGAGTCTTTCTGGCCAGAAAATTCTGAATTAGTATGTACAGTAGGCTAACTGCAAGTTTAGGGGGCCCAGTACCAGTAGCAGTGCTGGAAGACAATAATTCTTTTTCCATGGGAAAGCAACCCATTGCAAGGAGCAGGATGGCTAAATCACAGAAGTTACCAAACACAAATGGAGCTACTCTGCTCAGAGGACTCCTGATGACAGAATGGATTCCTTAGAAACTGCACTCGAACAAAAGTCTTGCCAAATAGAAAGTTTTAACAAAAGCCAGCAGTTGCACTGGGTGAATGTGCCCACAGCACAGATGTCTTCGAGCAGTTTCACTGCCAAAGGACACAGCCAAATGCAAAAGCAGCTTTTCCTCATTTGTGCTTGCAAACACAGGATTCTGTGGGCATAACTGGCATTCAGGCACTTTACAAGACTTACTCTTTAAAACGCTGTGTACTGTTTCTAATCTTGGCCCACTATGGTATTTTAAAACGTAAAAGCAAAATAAATTCCATTTGGGAAAAAGGCTGTCAAACTTGTCACTGGTCCCCAAAGTCCCAACAAAAAGCAAACAAAGAAACAAAAACCTAAATATTTGCAAGCCATTGTTACTTCATTATGATTTTGATAAAAATGGAAACAGTTTAACCATAAAAGAGTTAGTCTGCTGGAGTCCCTTTAATGAATATACATTTGCAACTGAAATGGCACAATTTACCTTGAAGAAGCCCATTGCAAAAGAGAAACATCAAATACTGCTGAATATCCACATTTACATCATAGGGGACTTTTCTACCATTACCTTGAAACCTGAAAAATTCTAGAGGTACTATTCTAAATACTCCATTGCTACAGCCCAAAGAATAAACAATAGGAAAGGGAATAGTAGAGGAAAGAAGTGAAAGGAAGGGTTAGCTTGACCTTACCTAGCACTGGCTAAAGGCCAGCAATCCACTGATACGTGGTTACATGGACAAGAGCACAGAAGGACTACATAAGAAATACACTACTCAAGAAACTATAGGGTGCAATTGCACTTAATACCAAATAACCCCTGTTTATGAAGGGGCAAGTGCAGAGAGAGATGGGGAAAGAGTACTGGATATCAGCCACTGGTTTGCCTTTCTGGTTATGGCTATTTACAGTGGGCAGCTCCTGAGTCCCCACACAGGTGGCTCAGCCACTGTGGCCCCTTCCAGGTGCTTAAATAGCAAGTCTTACAGCAAAAGCACAAATGCCCTTCATTAACACTCTCACTGCTGGGCTCCTGAGTGGCATGCACTTAAGTGCTGTATTTCACTGGGAGACAATGATACAGCTGCCAGCATGCCTGAGGTTCGGTGATTTCTTTCCCTCTCATGGCAAACATGTATGTGAAGGTAGAAGAATGGCAACTGTCTTTTTGTTCAAAGATATACATTCTAGCTTAATCCACCTCTCCTTGTTATTTAATTGGAGCTGGGGCTTTTAAAAACCAATCTTGGAGTCATTTTGCCAGTAGCTTTCCAATAGGAGTCATGCTTTCAACATCATCTGAATCGTTATCTTGACTCTTGAATTCATGTCTTCTTACCTGATAACATATTATCTGTTTTTATTGAAGGAAACTTCAAAGTCATTTCATGTTTGTGCCTGTGAATCATCAGGTGATCCTCTGTTGGAAAACGCTGTCAGGCAAACACAGAAAGAGAGAAAGGAAGAGAGAAAAAAAAAGAAGAAGAGTTTAATTCTCTAATAAACTTTTGGCATTGGACAGAATTTCAAAAATGAGAGAGAGAAAGAAATTTATCCAGCTAGAAATGTGTCCAAATGGCACAGGAAACAGAATATTTGAAAATACAAGTGAGTATGAGTAACAAATAGCTGTACTCAATTTAGAAACACATTTGCTGCTGTGCTCTCTGGGATGACAAACCATAAGGTGTCATGCAACTGCTTGAAAAAAAATTACAGTCCAAGTTTTAGATTCTGAGGGTCTCAGACACCCACTCCAGCTACCACAGCCTCACAAGTCACCACGTGCCTGAGGATCTGAGATAACTGCTGTTCTCTGTGCTCTTAGCCCACGGCAAATGCTAAGTAATGAGGCAAATCTTAAATCACTTTACTGGATTTTTCTGCTTTTGTGTCTTTCTGCAACATATATCTGATGAACAGCTATAAAAATAACTAAATAAGCCAGCTTTTCTCTACCCAAAAGTATTCAGGCAAAACACGTCTTTAATTTTGGAAGTATCTGATACTTTGACTTGATTTGAAGTGGCAATGAAATGGTGCACAGTTTTATAGCAACTAGTTATGGCCCTTTATGATACTAAATCAAATTCTTCTCCTTTGGCAAGCAGAGAAGGTGGAGATATTTTTTTGTAAGAAACTAATCAGCATGCTAAGTTTGTTTTACAATCTGATTACAGACTTCTACAAGAAATAGCTTCTTTTGATCAAAACAAAGAAGAGAGAAGCTTGAATAAATGCTCAAGCATTTGGGCTCAAACAGCAGAACGGTTCTGTGAAGTTTCCTTCACCAGAACGTGCAGACACAGACCTCTGCTACTGAGATGGTTTCAACCAGGTTATTTCAGGACTATCAAAAGCCAAAAGCTGTATCACCAAGGCTTGAGAAAAAATAGTTATTAAAAGCAGCTTTTTAAAGCAAGAGGTACATAGGAGACAAAAAAAGGCAACAACAGAGCTAAAGGGATGTAATGCTTTCAACACAGAATACTCTTGGCTAAGTGTCTTTGCTTGTGGTTATAGTATAAATAATTGCTGTATGCTACACCTTCTGAGAATCTCTCTAAATCCATAGACAAAGCAGCATAAATAGTGGAATCGAATTCTCTGGGGAAAAAAAGAACTGAAAAAGAAAGAAATCCCAAAGACCTTTTCCTCACTATGAAATCCTGGTTTCACTGCTTACTCATCTGGAAGAAATGCAGCACTAAGAATTTATGTTAAGAACAAAGGGAATATCTGAGAAAGACTTTGCTCAATGAAATCGTGAAGGGGGGAAAAAAACCCACATTTATTTCTCTTGGAAATGGATTTTCCTTCATGGATGCCATGCTCTCTCTTCATGATGAAATCAGCCAGCTTAAACAGGGCGTGGGGCAACAGAAGAGAAACTGTTCCTCCAGCCCAGACTTCTCTGTCTTTTTTCTAAGTCTGCTTTCTTCCTTGTGCAGAAGGTCGACTCCAGCAGCCCTCAGCACATCTGCATGGGCCAAGAGAGAAGCCAGGCCCCAGCCAGCTTAGCTGGACAGCAGCTCTGCATTATGCACTTAGGTCAAGTCCTCATTTATAACAAACACAGGTCATGTTGGGGAATGGGAAATTAAATGTTTTTCAAGATGGAAGTCACGCCTCCATTGTTCACCTTTCCAAATTGTAACAGCATGCAACCAAACTTGCTCTCTGAACAACTAAAAGAGCTGGTCTGGATCAGCTTCTCCTCCACTGAAGAAATTAATCAAGAGTTGACATGAGAACACTCAAGTCCACCGATTTTGGTGGAAATTAGTTTAATCAAAAAGGTAAATAAATTGTGACAAACTCAGATACTTTTATTCTCCCTCTGTGACAGAATGGTGAAAGTTTACCTCTGCATGTGGAAGTCTAAAGGGACATACTCTCAGCCTGAGGGACAATCCAAAAGATGCACTCTGCCTCCCATAGAAAAACTCCAACTTAATGAAACAGCAAAGCCACTCAGCCAGTTGTTAACTGGATTGAAGGCTTCTGCCTCTCTTTATTTCATTCAGCTCTTGGCAAAATCAACACCTACACTTCATTAACAGTCACCCATCCCCTCTGCCAGAGGAACCTGAAGAGTTGTAAACATATTAGCCAGCTGAAAACTCTCAACATACAGCTGAAACAGAGAAAGATTCACCAATTAGGAGAGGAGGATTCTAGGAAATGAGTAAACTATATCACTTGACATAGATGCACAGAGGAAGCCTGTGGCAAAAGCCCAAAAGATGCCCTTGTCTTGAGATTTTACTCACAAACTCTTGTTACTAAAACAAATTAGGGTCAGAAGTGCCAGGCATAGAAATTCCCTCATCACTGCATATGGGGCAATTTCCCTCACCACTGCAAAATCACTGGAAAAAACACACAAATCCCAGTTCAAATCTCAGCAGGTAAAATCCTTGTCACTTCAGGGTTTTTTTTAAGTTCATTAAACATCTAGTATTACAGGTCAGGTTTTTCCCTCAGAGACATATGGCAGAGCACCAGTCAAAAGGACAGGAATCCCAAATGCACATCCTGGGGCAAAATTTATCTACAGGCTGCGTTTTCCACAGAAAATATTTAGTAGGAAGATGTCTTAAAGATTAAAAACAAATTCATAAATAAATAAATAAAGATCAGCTAATAAGATATCATTGTATTTAAGTATTTAAAACAGAAAAAAAAACAAACCCAGGAGGGTTACCACCTCCAACAGCAACATAATATATTCCATCATACATCTTAGGAGAAGACAGATAAATGTGTCCTGCCTAGTGTGTCCTCTCTTGTTAGTCCCTAAAAGAATCTGCAGTATGTGGCTTGAAACATTTGGCTTTGGGATGAGAAAAGGCACAGAGGCAGCTTGAGGAGCACTTGTACCGACTCACTTTTGGCTGGCTGTTGTATTTGCTTGAAATATTTTGTAATAATGTCTTGTGGGAAAGGAGAGAATTGAGGGGAAGCAGGTCTTAAAAAAAAACACACACAAAAAACCCCTGACACACATATTATTATTAGACATGTGTTAATATATCAGGAGGCATTATACAAGCCAGAGCTAGTGCTGAGGACTCAATTAATATCACCGCTGACTCCACTCACCTGTGAGCAGCCTGGGGCACTGCAGACAAAAGGCCTCTCCTGCTCCAAGTTCATCTTTGATTCCTCATAAATCTACATGTTAAAAGGGGGAGGGGGAAAGAAAGGGAACCTATGAATATATACGTTCTAAACTTCACACATGCATGCAACATAAAGAAATCGCAGTTTGTGCTTTTATTTCAAACTCTGCAAACAGATCAGAACAAAGTTTTCATACTCAGAGTACTAATTTTGCTAATATGCAGCAGGCTCCCTACAGTCTAAGTTCTTATTGCTCCTTCCTGAGCACCAATTTACTTTCAAGGAGGAAAAAAAAAGTTCAGCTTTCACAGCATAAATCTGCCTCAGAAAATAGCATATGTTCAGTGTTGTTATTAGATAAGACCGTGTCTTCTCAGAAATATCTTGAATTAAAGGTTTTTACCTTTCCTCCTTCAGTTCCTGCTGAACAACATTAAAACCAGACGTCTAGGTTACTTCTGAGAAAGAGCCCACTTTTTGAAGTTCTGCATCCATACTGTCTGATATTAATAACTTAAATACATTACATACATGCTCTCTATACACACAAGGTAACTGTGCATCCCCATCCTTTAAAAGGTCAACTAGAGCCTCAGGAGCTTCAGCAGCGAAGTTTTGTCTAAAACTGCACTTCCCCATAGCAGTACCCGTCCTGTAACCTTGAACTAAACCCTGGGGGAAAGCTCCCAAGTCTTAAATAAAGGCAAAGGATGAAACATTCACCCTCAGAATGCAGTTATGCAGCTAAGTTTCAGTCAATATTAGGGCAGTGTCCCTGAGCAGAAAAAAAATTTTAGTAAAATTCTAGGGAGTAAAATAAATAAGTCATTTATTTCAGAAAAGTCTTCAGCCTGCTGGAACAACTGTTTTTACCAGCTAGAATGTAGTGGCTGACCCATCTTAAAGCAGATGCCTTATGTTTGGAGATTCCCTGAAACCCCTGAAAACTCAGCCTCATCACAGCCTCCCTTAGAAAATTGTCTGGGTCGTGTTTGGGTAATTTTTTTGTGAACCAAAAAGAAATATCCTGGTGGAGAAGCAGAATTTGATTTTAAAACTACAAAAATCTGCAGAGGGAAAAGTGGTAAAGTTGCTCAAACCCTCTGAATTTTTTTCAAACTACAGTTCATTGCTTCCTATCATCAGGAGTATCTTGAGCACACTTAGAGTTGATAGTGTAATTCACATTAACCTGTACATCAGCCAGACCTGTACTTGCAGCCTTTATTTTCACTGGATGATAACATTTTCTTTTTAATTAAACTTGATTCTGGTGGACAACATTAGCTTTACAGTATATTTTCCTAATTGTGACATAAAAAACTCCACTCTGTCTGACTCCACTGACTCCTAGAAGCAGAATCCAGAAGTGAAGGATTTCTACTTTCATTTGCCCTTCAACCTCCACAAGGACACTACTCCCAAAAGCTGACAATAAGCATCAACTGATCTTCCTGATATGGGCATCTCTACCAACATCTGGCCTGAGAAAAATGATTTATAATACAATCAGGTGTCAAGAAAGACCCTAGCTCAGGCATAACTTACGTATCCACACAAGGCTAGAACTGAAATAACTAAAATTGTACCTAATTTACTCCTTTAAGATTATTCATATCCTGTTTTGATTTAACTTACAGCTATGTTAAACTGAAATAGGATACTCATAATCAGAAATGAAAGAGTATATTCGCATACTAAAATAACTAAAGGTGTTAAATTACTTCTAATTTCAGTTATTTCAGTTCCAGACTGTGCATAGACAAGCTCTTCAGAGATGAAGCCATAAAAATACTCTGAATTACACTATCGTGTCTGAAAGAAACAGGCAGCAGAGAGATAACTGACTAGAAAAACAAACCCTCGCAAAAAAACAAAACCAAAACCTCCAGCTAAGTTAGATTTTTAAATCCACCTCTATTTATGGGATATGACCCCAGGCATGCTGTCTTTCCTAAAGACAACTTTTTCCTTTACACAGAAAGAAGAAAAAAAAAGCTGCACATGGATAATGAAAGGCTTTATTTAATATCTCAATTGCTCCTGCAACTGAAGCACTGCCAAAGATTTCTGTTACCCCTTTTTCCCCTCCTCAGGGGACAGTGACAACAGCATTTTCAATAGCAAAACAACAGATGAGACTCAGTTAAAGAAAACAAGATAGTTACAATTCTGGTCCCAAGTGTCCAAGTGAATTTCAAAACATTACCCGGAATTATTTGGAGTTTGATTTCTTATTGAGTATTGCAAGTCTAAGACTTCCCTCCCCACCCCGAGCTTGACCTTTAGTCCCTGAATCCATCAGTGCACACTCTGATAACAAACGATTCTTAAGGTTATCTAGGTAAATAATCATGGACTAAGCACCAAAATAACATACTAGATGAGTAGAATCCCGAGTGCAGAGATCAGCTCCAGGAAATCAACTATGATAAGTTATAGTCCATGATAAGAAGACATGGATTTGGTGTTTCCTCTCAGTACCTGGAAAAGGTGTCTGATTCAACATCAAATTGCTTTTCCCAAGTGTACAAGCAATTGCTTGTTTCCGTGAGAATCATTCTTTGCAGACACTAAACATAAAACAAGTAATAATGCAGAATGGTTGTATCACCTGCACTCCAAGGTGCTGTCTAGCAGAACTTGACCTACAACGTGTTACCAGGTAGTGCAATGCCCTCAAGACAAATTTCACTGTGCAGAATTGGTGTTTACATGTGATGCAATCACTGCAGTTGAGACTGTGCTATCACTGACTCTCTTACAACAGTAAATGAGTGAAAGAAGCTGCCTGCTGCCTACACTTTTTGCAAATGTGTGGTGCTTGGTTATCATATGGCAGTAATTCCAGTGTTATGCTTGAATGTTGACCAGAAACAAGCAGCTGAAAGTCTGGGCTGTGAGTGTGAACCTCCTGCCATCCTCAATCCCGTTGAACTGTGCAAAAGCTGTGGATGCACCAGCACCACCGGGCTCACCCCAGGTGTGCAGCAGGACGGGGGCTCTCAGTAACAGAGGTGTTGTGCACAGCACGGCTTGCATGGCATCCTTCTCAGCATGCAGGCACACATCTCCCACCCCTGAGCTCAGACAGCCTCTGGCACACACTTCTCTTCACATGTCTCACGTGTGTTGCTGGGCCACACAATCCACGTCTTCATTTTCCACACTGTGCGCAGGTGAAGGAAGGAAATAACACAACCAACGGCAACATTTCGACTTCACCTAATAAAAATATATCACAGCAGCCTTTCCATCTAAATTAGGGTGCTTATTAGCCTTTGGGATCTTAAAAATTCAAGTTACACTCGTGCAACTCTTGTAGTACTACCAATAACTGCTGCAATTAATGCACTTGAAGAATATCAGAAAAATCTATGATGACTGTAAAGTTAAACAATTTCTCCAGCCAGAACTTTTTGCTTCTGTTATCAATGGCTTAATTTATTGCAACTTGGTGACTTTTTTGAAGAAACAATCAAGGATTATAAATAAAAGCAAACACCATTATTAATATGTCAGCATTAGTTCTGATATTATTAACAATAGCCATGAGTGTATAATCCAGCAGAAAAGGGGGCTGAATTTTAATAGACATGTTAACAACATCTGTCAGCATTTATTGCCCTATTGTGACCACGTAAAGAGCCTTACTGGCAGAATGTGTAAGTGAGGAAATCTGCTATGCTGTTGTAGCCTGCCATTCTCCTGAAATATCACTCTGCTCAGAAGTTAAGGTATTCCAATTATAAAAATAAATAAATAAAAATACAAGAGAAGGACCAAGCCATGTCACGTGGTAGAGAAACAAGTAAGTTCTGCAGTAAGCCAAGATTTTCTTCTACCCCTTGATTTTTGCACAAGAGTCTTCTAAAAAGTTTTTATTATAATTAATAAAACTGCAGCCCACAGTGAGGAATGCAAGAACATAACAAAGAAACAAAAGCAAACAGAAGAAATAAAATCACCCTCAGAACACAGCAGCAAACTACATCTCCTCTCAGCCGCATACAGAGGGACGTACCCCATGTTCTCAGGCTCCTCAAGGAGATTTTGCAGAGCCCCAGGATCATCTTTTCTGAACCAGAAAAACTGTTCTTACATCTAAGACGAAAAAAGCATGCTCCTTTCTGTCTCCCTCTCCCCCTTTTTAAACTCAGCAGTAATCTTACTGCCATACTGGTAAAAACATCAAGCAGTCTTGTTTCCTGTTTCAATGTTATTCTTGAAGTGGGCTGCAGTAAGAATCTGATTTTCATTGGGCTATTATTATTTGCAGCTGTGTGACCTTTTTAACCCTCTTTTAAAAGTGACATTTCAGCCTTCAACCTCAAGCTGTCTAAATGTTGCAGGGTTTTCAGGCCTCTGATTAACAGAGGAAAAAGAACCGATGGGGAGGTGTATACTACAATGTGTCTAATGCAGGTCAGTGCACCCATCCTGCCATTTGCACAAGTGAGTAATTACACTCTTATAAGCAACCTGTTTGTTGAAATTAATCACCTGGGTTCATGCTTGCAAGACAGGTTTCTTCAGCCTGGTGTGACCAAGGTCACTGAATTTTCCAAATACAGGTACAAAATACACGGTCTTTAGAGTTAGCAGCGGTATGCAGAGACATGAACAAAAAATGAAGCATCACCTATTTTTTAGGGTCATGGGCACAATGTTTAAAAAGTGAGACGAGACATGGTTACACTGCACTTGTGAATAGCAAAGAACCCCATCGGTGTATGCAGTATTTTTAACTGCTAATCATGGCTATTCAGTACGGTGCTATTTATAGATAATTAGAGCATTATTAGAAATGCTATTAAGACTTGTAGGTTTTGGAAGTGTAATACATGCAGGGTTAATGCCTGCAGTTGTTCCCAATACATACTCGCTTGAGCAAAGCCAATTTTAAGCAGCATTGTGCTGGAATGGTGCACGGTGGTTTTTCTCAGCATGGGCTTTTCAGTGGAAGTGCTTGTTTTCTGAACTAGCATCACGCTTTCCACATGCAGGCAGACTACAGGCTCATTATCACAGCCCTGCCTGCTTCAGCTGCT